AGAGAGAGAGAGAGAGAGCAAGAAAGAAAGCTTACACGACCAGAAAAACCACAAAGGTCACCAGAAGCGGCGACCGCAGATCCTTGAACCGCGTCGCCCACCATGTTATGGGAATCGACATGGCCGTATTGACGACCTTGAAGGACAGCATCCGGATCGAGATGTCCCACGCGTTGTCCTCCCAGCCCAGGTTCAGCGCCATCTGCGGCACGATGGAGTTGACGGCGCTGTAGAAGATCCAGCCCTCGACCCCGAACGCGAAGACGGACAGGGCGAAGTTAGCATCGGTCCGGAAGAAGACGTGCGCTACCAAGCCGTCGGACCGGCCCTTCCACTCTGTTGTTTGTGTGTTCCGCCGTCATCAGCAAGTTGCACTCTGAGGCCCCGGGGCTACAGTTCAGTTCCCAGGAGGCTCATAGACAAAGACAAACACTCACCATACAGACAGAACCCAACCAGCAGGGCCAGGCCCAGCCCGATGGGCGCGGCCACGTGCGGGTCGCTCCACTTGTAGGCGCCGCCGGCCCAGCCCAGCCCCAGCAGCATGAGCGTGGCGCTGCCGACGAATAGCAGGGAGCCGATCGGGTCGCAGGCCCAGACGTAGTCGCCGAGGGACATCTTGGGCCTGTCGGTGCGTTTGGGTGGGTTGTAGAGGAAGAAGAGACCGACCGACGTCAGGGCGTGGAAGGCGGCCTGGATCCAAAAGATGTAGCGCCACCCGCTCGCGTTGACGTTGGTCACGGCTCCTGCCCCGAGGTTGCCGACTCTGCATCGGGATTTTTTATTTATTTAGCACGACAAAAGCACCGCAAGAGCATAAGTCCACAGCAACAAGAAGAAATACTTACAGCCCCCCGATAGCTCCCCCCATAAACGCGCAACCGTTGGCAATGGCGCGGTATCGCAGCGGCAGGATCTCGGACGGGATGGTCTGGACGATGGAGATGGTGGGCAGGGTGAAGCCGATGAGGATGCCGCCGCCGATGAGCATGTTCATGGACGTGGCCTTGGCCGAGACGACGGCGCCCGCGAGCGCCACGAGCGGCGGCAGCGTCGCCATGTACTTGCGGTCGAGCACGTCCGACAGCCGGCCCACGACGGGCGAGAGCACGCTCTGAACCAGCAGCGGGCCCTGGATGATCCAGCCCGCCATGGAGGCATCGCCCAGGTCGCGCACGATGAAGGCGATCACCGTCCCGGCCGCCACGACGACGAAGACCTGGCCCGCGATGCTGGGGGTGTGGGTATGGCTGTTAGACTGTGAAAGAAGTGGTTCGGGGATTTGGGATGGCATACGCGAAGCAGGATATCAAGACCACCAGCTGTGGCGAGCTGGCGTTAGAATTATAGTCATTCGCATTGCACGGGCCCCCGAAAGACTTGCCCATGACCTCCAACTGAGGTTGATGTGGACAGCATCGTCCTGGGCCTCCTCTGCCAGCGTCTGGATGCGATCTCCATTTCCATTGGGATTGACCGTCTCCTCGTGGCTGTGTGCCGCAGTCCGCTTCTCGCTCGGGGCCCCCATCTTGTGCCAGGTTTATCTCGTCGGGGCACTCAAACTGACAAACCACGGGCGATATGGCAAAGACAAAGCAACCAGGGGAACCCAGGGAAATAAGAGGAGGCTCTGTTTTCTACTCTTATTTGTACCCTCTTCACCAAGACCCGCCCCCGCGCGCCCGCCACGTCGATGAGCGAGCCCCGTCCGCGGTGTGACGCTGACCGCATGGATGCTACCCCGTGGGGAAGCCTCGGCTGCAAGTTGCCGATGCCGGCCAGACCCCGAGCCGCCCCTCTTTCTTCAGCTTCTCCGCACGCTGGCAGCCGGGAGGGCACATTGTCATGGCTGCCCAGCCCGGTAATTGCGAAAGTGCAGCCAGGCGATTGGAACGGTGGACTCCTTTGCTCGCATTGAATGGGGCCGCCGAGAAGAAGGGCCAGCGGCGCGGGTGCGGTTGCTACACTAGCCAGTGTGAATGGGAATATTGCATGGGCCTGGGCTGGGCTGATTAGCAGAAGACATATCATTACGATGAGAAGGCACAGATCTACCGGGAAACTTGTGGAGTGAAGACGCGAGGCTTCTGATGCCCCGTTGGGTGAAATTTAGCGACGAGACAAGAAATGGCCGTGGCTCGCGTGGCTCAGGCGGCGGCTCAATCGGTGGCTCAATCGATGGTCGATATAGTGTGCGATCCCTCTTTGGGCCTAGTAAGCTCGCTTGTCCAAAAGAGGCATGGCATAATTCGTGTTGTTTACGGATTAATACGGGGGTACGGTCCTGCGCATGCCTTGGTCGGGGTCGGCGACCGCCAACTTGGACCGACCCGCGCTACTAAATTATGGTGGTGTATGACCGACAATGACGACCGCGCTTTAGTCCTGTTAGTTTGACTTGATGGCTTGACCATGGAAGCAACAAACAATCCCAACAGACCAGAAGCCAGCCTGGGAGAAATCAAGCCCAAGAAGAACCAAGCCCCGAGAATTCGTCCGACTCGCTTTCATGTTCCAGACAGGCCAATTTTACAGGTTAGACGAGGTGGCAGACACCCCATGTGGAGTCCCATGAGCCATCATTGATCTATCCTTGATCCTAGATCCATCATCAAACACCAACAACCAGCTGCATGCTGGCCAGGCTTCGGGGCGCCCATCATGCACCCTCGGGGCACCATGCAGCCACCTTTCCTCGTATCCCACCGGCAAGATAGCCACCCATCCGCCTGGGGTGCCTGCGGGCTGGGCCGCCGTAGCCCCTTATCCAGCACGCCGGTGCCGTTGAGAAACCCCGACCGAACCCGATGTCGCCGTGGCCCACAAAACATGTGGCGCCCGCCTTGTGTCCACGCATCGCCGGTTCATGGCTATAAGGGCGCGCTACGGCTCATCTGGCTCATCGAGTGGTTAGGAACGGTTTGGCAACACCTCAACACGCCCCCCTGGACGCTCTTGCCAACTCTCCAAAACTCCACCAGGCTCCAAATCTCTCCCTCGCCCACTGCCTCCAAAGCTCCCCGACGCAGACAGCCTTTTCGCTAAGGAGGTACCGCCGTCATGGCCTCTTCCGCCAGCGCCGACGCGACATGGCTTCCCAGCGCGGGCCTGCTCGCCGGCCACGAGTTCGACCAGACCACCATCGCCGCCACCCTGGTCGCCCTGCTCACGCTGCCCGTCATCGCGAGCTACCTCTTGGGCAAGAAGGACAATGGCATCCCGCTCGCCAACCCGCCCAGGCGGTTCCAGCCCGAGGCCATGGCCAAGATTGAGTTTTCCACCGACGCCCCCCGCATCCTGAAAGAGGCCAGAGAGCGGTTCCCCAACAAGCCCTTCCGTTACCTGAGCCCGTGGGGCATGATCAACCTGCTGCCGTCGGACATGGCCCTCACCGTGAAGAACAACGCCCCGCTTCTCAGCTTTCGGAAGAAGCTCAGCGAGGTGAGAGCCCACTCAAAGGTGCACGCGATTTGTAGCCAAAGCTGACTGGGTCTTTGTTGAACGCCCAAAGCGACACCCCGCCATCATCCCGGGTTTCGAAACCTTCAGGAACCTTGACCACCCGGGCGAGGTAGTGCAAAACGTCGTCAAAAAGCATCTGACCAAGAGACTGAGTAGGTCAAGGTTCACACTTCGGATTCTCTGCCTGCCTGCCTGCCTGCCTGCCTGGGGCGACGCTGACATTTCTTGCACGCGACCAAGACACCATCACCGAGCCGCTTGCTCTCGAAACAGCGTTTGCGGTGAACAAGTTGCTAGGCCAGCCATCTGGTAAGTGCGCCCGTCGCCCGTCCCCACAATCCGCGAGGTGGAGGGCATCTCAGGTCTGGTGAGGCAGGAAAAGGCTAACGATGGCAATGGCTCGGCCAGACTGGGCCGAGACACCCCTCTACGACACGATGCTGGGTCTCGTCGCGCGCCTTTCTTCCAGGGTTTTCCTCGGGCCCGAGCTCTGCCGCGACGCGGCGTGGCTGGATATAACGGCGAATTACACAAAGGCCGAAATCCAGGCCTTCGTGGCCCTCGGCTTTTTCCCCTATCTGCTCCGGCCCATCATCGCCTTTTTCGATCCCACCTGCCGGGCCGTCGCGAGGGAGAAGGCCCGGGCGGTCCTGATCGTCGAGGGCGAGCTCGAGCGGCGTCGCAAGGAGAAACAGGAGTGCGCCGCCCAGGGCGTTGCGCCGCCCACATACAACGACGCCATCGAGTGGGCCGAGATGGAGGCTGGCAGCCCCCCGGTCAACCCTACCGATTTCCAGCTCACCCTCTCGTTCGCCGCCATCCACACCACGACCGACCTCATCTCCCAGACGATGCTGATGCTCGCCATGACCCCGGGATCTATCGAGGCTTTGCGGGAGGAAGCGGTCGAGGTCCTGGCGTCTGGGGGCTGGACCAAGAACTCCCTGTACCATTTGAAGTTGATGGACAGCGCCCTGAAGGAAGCCCAACGTGTTAGGCCGCCTGCGTATGGTAAGCAACCGGCATCCCTTGCTAACGATGAGTGGTTTCAATCCCCAGCACGGTGAGACTGACTTCTTTTTTTTTTTTTTTTTTTTTTTTCCTCCTCCCGGAAACAGACGGCCTGCAGCGCAAGGCCATGGCCGACTTCGTCCTGCCCAACGGCCAAAAGCTCCGCAAGGGCGACCTCGTCGCCGTCGACGAGCACGCAGGGCTGTGGGACCAGCACGAGAACCCGGAAAAGTTCGACATGTACCGGTTCCGGCGCATGCGCGAGACGGCGGGCGGCGAGCACAAGGCGCAGCTCGTCTCCACGACGCCCGAGCACATGGTCTTCGGGCTCGGCAAGTACGCCTGCCCCGGCCGCTTCTTCGCCGCCAACGAGGTCAAGATCGCGCTCTGCCACCTCCTGCTCAAGTACGACTGGGAGCTGGCCCCCGGGACGCCGACCGACCCCATCGTGGCGGGCGGCTTGCCTGCCATCGACCCGGCGGCCAGGCTGCGGCGTAGGGTGAGGGTGCCCGAGATTGATCTTGACGCCCTCGAGGTTGAGAAGACGGCCGAGTAGGCTGGGCATCATGGCTCTGGTGGCCGCCATCACGGGACGGCTGGGGCGAAAGGGCAGCCGGAGCAAACTTGGCTGGGAGACGGGCGCTCAAAACGACGACGGCAGATGGGCGGAGGTGGAAAGTTGGATTGTCACGTACCATGTGTCCAGCCTCTCTGGCAGGGTTTTTTTCTTTCTTTTTTTCTTTGACTGGATTCGATGGGCTACCGATCAAGTTTGACTGATAGTCTTTTTATCCGGCTTTTCTGAATAGTATTTTTACACCTCAAGCACAGGTTTCGTCCCGTTTCGCACCTACTGGAACATTCAGTAGCTATTGCTTATTCCGGTCTCAGCGAAAAAAAAAACCTGTGTATCTGAAGCCGCGCTTTGCACACTGCCTGCCTGTGAAACCAGAACCACCAGCATGGGTCGGGTGGAGCAGCCACATCGTGCTCCGCCGACACAAGCCGTCGTCGTCGTCTCAAAAGACTAAGACGGAGAGCTCGGTGTGCTGGCTCATCGCCGTCCAAGCTTGCGATGGATTCTTGGACGGGGTTTTTGTCGGTGGAGGGGAATGGCAGCAACGCTATCAATCCAATCTTTGCAAAGCCTGACCCTCTACTTAACCCAACCAAGCCAGTTCTATCAAAAAGGGCCGATTGCCAAGCGCCGGTCAGCCCGGCTAGGCGGTAGCTGGCGGCCCGCCTTTAGCTTTTACTTGATCCCTCGTTGCGCCAGGCACACAACGGAGTGACCCGACGGATCGCAACTGCCCTGCTGAAAATTGCCGTGATACGGGGCTGGCAACACGAGGAGCCGCAGGTCCCTGACAAGAGGGTGCAGGATGGAGAATATTGTGGAGAATATTGACGTAATGGCTTATCATGGGATGGAAAAGTCCCGTGCTTTGCCTGAGCAAAAAGAGATCCCGCCCTACGAACCAAAAATCAGGTTGGCTTTGTTGGTCGCCCTTTGCCTTCTAAAAAGGAGGGGAATTCGCAAGGTGGAATACAGTGGGAGTTCTGGGCGGATCAAATTTACGAGGAAAAACCACCCATTTGCAGGGGCTTCGGACAGGAGTTGGCCCACTATTGCAAGGGGTCACCGCGGGCATGTATCTTTTCTAATTTTTCACGGCCAAATAGCCTGCCAGGTACCTGCATATAGGCAATGTACCGGGGCGGTTTTTTGGCCGTGAAAAATAGAAAAGATACATGCCCGCGGTGACCCCGCGTTTCCCCTGAGCCCCTGAGGATAGGTGGGATTTTCCTCTCTATTTACAGATGGTTGCTGCGCTGCCAGGCCCTGCGCGTGCTGCGGCTCTTCGGCTCTTCAGAGGAAGGAGACCCTGGCGACGATGATGCTCGTATCGCGGGCCCTCAGCCCCGAGCTTTCGAGGCAGAGCCCCACCCTCCCCCGTATTGTGCGGCCTCCTTTTCCCGCCCGCGCCTGAGAGAGCCGTCTTGCCGACCAAGGCCCTCGGCATCGCCAGCACGAGGGGCGCCAAACCAGGAGTCGCCATTTTCTGCGGACGAACCATGAGGCGATGTAGCAGGGGCTGAGGGGACCCGAAGGCATGGATTGTTGCGGATGCATCCGCCCGCGGGGATGGGCCGACGGTGGGATATAAGAAGCAGCGTTGGGCCTGATCGGGGTGCTGTTTGTTCTGGTCTTTCTCTCCCCACCCTCACCGGCCAGTCCTTCGTTTTCCTCTACGACTCCAAGCTTCTAGCTTTGTGGTTCCTTCTTTGACCACGTACTCTCGCTTCTTTATACACTCGTTACCAAACCACAACACCACCACCACCACCACCACCATGCTCCCCATCACCCTCCTGTCGCTCGTGGCGGCCGCCACCGCCAGCGCCATCCCGGCGCCCCGCGCCACGCAGTGCACCACGCCCGAGGTGCGCAAGGAGTGGCGCGAGCTGTCGACGGACGAGAAGGCCGAGTACATCCGGGCGGCCAAGTGCCTGCGCGAGCTGCCCAAGCAAAAGTACGCCGACGTTGCCGCCGTGACGACGCGCATGGACGACCTCGTCTGGACGCACTTCAAGCTCAACCTCGACATCCACTTCGTCGCAAACTTTCTGCCCTGGCACCGCTGGTACGTGCAGCTGCACCAGGACCTGCTCCGCAACGAGTGCGGCTACAAGGGGACGCAGCCGTACTGGGACTGGAGCATCGACGCCGACGCCCTCAACACGGCCCACTCGCCCGTCTTCGACCCCGCCACGGGCTTCGGCGGCGACGGCAGGCGCATGCCGGCGGGCGCGGCCCCGGGCTTCGAGCGCTGCGTGGCCGACGGGCCCTTTGCCAACACCAACCTCACCATCGGCATGGGGTGGCCCGACGTCAACACGGTCGGCAACCGCAGGCACTGCTTCACGCGCGAGCTCAACAACGCCTCGGGGCGGGACGCCGACGGGAATATGATAGTGGGCGACATGCAGGCGGCGGCGTACAACACGCGCGTCATGCGCACCGTCGACGGCCTCCCGACCTACGCGCTCATGCACGACATGCTCGAGGGCCTGCCGCACGCCCAGGTCCACAGCATCATCTTTGGCGACATGGGCCCGGCCACGTCGCCAAACGAGCCGCTCTTCATGCTGCACCACGCAAACGTCGACCGCGCCTGGGCCAGGTGGCAGGGCCGCAACGCCACCCGTCTCGCCGACTACTCGGGCTTCAACGACCGCAACAAGGTCAACTCGGCCCACATCACCGACAAGATGCCCGTCGTGGAGCTGGCCGACGTCCAGCCCATCGTCCAGGACTACATGGACATCCAGGCCGGGCCGCTGTGCTACACCTACTCCAAGATGACTCTGTAAGGGTCGTTTGTTTTGATAATGCCCATCTAGCCATGACTTGTTTTCTTGTTTTCTGAATCCCAGCCGCACTCAGTATCTGTTGCATTTTTTCTCAACGCATTTTTTGGAGCGACCGCCTTTGTACATAGCCATCGACGATTCACGGATAGCCTCACGATATAAGCAACTATTCGTTACACACAGGAATACTGCCATGTATCTGACATGGGAACATAATCCACACCAGGATTCCTCCAAGATCCAACCCTAACTGCGACCCCTGAAGAGCCCCTGAGCCCCATTATTATATCGTCGGCAACAAGCGCTGCGCCACTCCCGAATATTTGTCCAGCTGTGACGAACAGGTCCCAAATAGCCAGCTCTAGAGTTGTGGTGTTGTACATTCATCAATCATGGACTTATCATATGCTACAAGGTAGATAAAAAAAAAATACCTCAAAGGAGAGGCTTTAAAAAGCAACAACTTTTCTCCCCATTACTTCCCCCTACCCTTCACAGACGGGTACGACACGGCAAAAAAGTCGGGCGTCAGCCGCCGCCCGCCGCCGGGCCGACCTATCGTGAAGTAGGGGCTCAGGTTGGCCTGCTTGCGCGGGTGCGGCGGCTGCCACCCCTCCACCACAGTCTTGTCGCTGTCGCTGTCTTCGTTGCAGCGGCCGGCCGCCACCGCCGCCGCCCACGTCCTGCTGCCAAGCGACGACATGCTGTTGCGAGGCAGCGGCGGGAGGGGCTTCGATAGGCGTCTTGGGTTCAGGGGCTGGTGTTGGCTCCGGCGCAGCGCGGCGGTGGCTGCAGCGCCCCCCTCGACGACGGTGACGACGCCCAGCGACACGGCCTCGGGCAGGGTGCGGGCGAGCGCGACGCGCATGGCGGGCAGGCAGGCGCACACGATGCCCGCGTGCATCTCGAGCGCGGACCACACGGCCACGGGCAGCTGGTCCCAGGTCGGGTTGTCGGACGAGAAGCCGCCGAGGACGCGCAGGCGCAGGGCGCTGACCGCGGTGGCGAGGAGGCCGACGCAGAACATGCCGCCGACCTGCGCGCGCCGCCGCCGCGACAAGTTGAGCCCCGCGGTCTGCGACAGCGGCAGCGTCAGCATCCACGCGTCCATGGCGATGCCGGCCCCCGCGTTGGCCCACACGAGCGCGCTGCCGTCGATGCATTGGCCACCACCCGTCGCGGCGGCCCCGCTGCCGTCGTACTGGGTCCAGTAGAAGCTGACGGGGGCGCACTGGGCCAGCCCGACGGTGACGAAGGCGACCGCCAGGGCCGTGTTGGCGGCCAGCGTGCCCCAGAGCACGAGCCGGAAGCTGCCGCGGCCGCGGACGAAGGTTGGCTTCAGCCCGCGCCTGGTGAAGACGCGCATGAAGAAGAGGGTGATGGAGATGCGCATCAGGCTGGCCACTGCGAAGTAGATGGGCTCCGCAAAGTACCAGTACTGGAAGTAGGGTAAGAGGTCCGTTAGTTTGTCTGGACATTGGGGAGGCGGGCAGAAAGGGAAGATAGTGGGCTCACAAAAGCGTAGTCGCGGAGCTGGTGGGTCGTTAGAGTCCAGACGTCGCGCCCGAGGCCGGCGCCCGTCATCAGGACGCCGCAGAGGTACATCTTGGGCAGCAGCAGCACATACGCGAGGAGAATGGTCAGGTCGTCCGCCCCCAGCGTGCTCATGGCGCCCTCGGTGTCGCTGGACAGGATCTTGGACAGCAGCCTCAGCAGGACGGTGAGGCCCGAGATGGTGCAGAGCACGACCTGCTGGATCGTGTAGCTGTGTCCCGCATCGCGGACGGGGGCGCCGCACGCGTCCTTGAAGATCTTGGTCGTCGCTGTCGGTCGTCGTCCTGTCAGCTGTGGAACAACAGTCGGCCAGTTTCGTTTGGTGTTTGCCTTACAGAGAAGGTCCTGCAGCGGACACGACAGCTTGACGCAGCCAGCAAAGGTGTCTATTGTTGACGGCTCAGTGCAGATGCATGCCGTGTTTGTCTCATTGATGCTCAGGCACTTTGATGCCTGCGTGGCCAGTTGCGCGCAAGGAAGCTGTGTGTGGTGTTTGCCCATGTTAGCCTGGAGCCCGAGACACCAACGGGGAGTCTCCAAATCAAGACGGATGCCCCAAAAACCTACAGCACATGGCGGAAGCGCGACTATCGCCCGTGTTATGCTGCCGTCCTGTGCCCGGGCTGTCGCGGTGATGCCGAGGCCGGCGAGGAGGGCTGCTATCCTCGACTTCATCTCTCAGATGTGCCTGTCTGGAGGGCGTGGAAAGACACCGGTAGGAGAACTGGCCGTCGTCACAGCTTGAACAGAATAGCCAGCCTGATCAAGGGGGATGAGAGGGGCGAGTTTCCCGATTGCTTTTTATTTAAATTACGCTTTTACCACGCCGAGGATCTGACCTACCCACAGGATACCAAATTCCAGACCCTCGAAGAGCCCCCTTTCCGACCGCGGTCCCCATATCAAAGGCTAGTTGTGGAGAAGACAGCGCCGGCAGAGGCTTATTTCCTATCGGGCCGCTTGCTAATACCAAGGTGGCGTCTCCCGTCTCCGTCCCGCTCGGACAGCCACGGCGTCACGCGCGACGCCTCTTTGGTTTGGGGAGTGGCAAGTCACCGTGCTCGCCGTCAAGAACGCTATCCATCGGGAGGTTTGTCAGCCATCTTCCAAATACCGAGAAAGCCTAACACGTCGGCCACGAGCGAAGGCTCACGCCACCAGCAAATCGAGATCGGGGCGCCTGCCTTGCGCAGCACACCATCGTCAAGCGGAAGTCTTTCCGCCTTCGCCCGATGCATCGTCAAATGTCGTCGTTTGAACTGGCCGGGCCGAGGTGGCCCTTTCCGGGGGGTAGAGGATCTGCAGCGGCGTGACGGCGACGGTGTCGATGCGCGGAGAGACCATGGCATAGCACCATCCAGCCTTTTTTTGCAGATCGTGGACGCGTCGCGCGAGCAGATCCCGATCCATGTGCCGTACATACAACCGGGAGGCAGGTGGCTCAAACAACTGTCAATACCACGTGCTTACTTCCTTCCCTGTGTGCAGTTCCTGGAAGTGCCTGCTGCAGTCGCCATTCTAACCTGGTTCCACCCTTTTCGTCGAGAATAAGGGCGGGCAAGCCTGGCTCGCAGTGCTAGGTTAGAAATCGGGCTGCCCCACTCCCAGGTCAAAAGATCTGACGGCTATCTGAGCTCTGGGTCAACGGCACCTCAGATGTCCCCCGGGAGGCCGCCAGGAAACGACAAGGAGGTGAACCCACCTCCCCTGCTGATAAGCTTGGGTTGCTGCAGCTGCTTCCGTGCCCGGGGATAGCGGTGGTCTAGGTGGTACGACATAAGCTCTGCGCCTGGATCCCACGGTCCCCGGGGGGAGGTCCCGGGTTCGAGCCCCCGCGGGGGTGGAACCCGGGATATCCCTTACTACACATTTTTTTTTCTTTTGCTTCCATCGGAGCAGAGATGTTTACTTTTCATAGTGGATGCTGGGGCTCGTCCTTTCCGGTTGTATGCGATAAGTGAAATCTCCCCCGAGTTCCAACTACACGTGACTATTCCGTTTATTAGCTTTCCATTCTCGTTACTGGCACGGCCATCCATCGACCCCTTTGCTTATGGCACATTCCCACCCTTTTTCCTTGGCTGTTTGCGGCAGCCTCCCATGCAATGTCCTGTGCATTTACCAAGTTGTCATTGTAACGTGTAACCAGTGAAGTAGCACCTTGAAATCGAAAGGAAGTAGCCTGGATCTACTCGTCGCCCCCGAACAACACCAGGTTCCCTATAAAATACACAAAAAACGCGTATCGAACGCCTGCCACTGCGTTCCGCACTCGACCGTTACCCGCACCTACACCAGCACCAGCTTTGCCTTCGGAATTAATTCCATCTCGTCTCCCAGCGTGACCGAGCCTGTGAGCTCCTCCTTGTCGGCCCCTGTAAATTCGGATTCTGCCTCTGCCACCTCGTTCACTAATCCGGTTCTGTCACGGACTCGGCCGCAGTTACCGATCCAGCGTCTTTCACTGATTTTTACCTCCACCACCTGGGCCGTTTAACGTATAAAAATCCCCTCCCGTTGAGCGTATTGTTGTGGGGGAAAAAAAGCCCCATCATGCTGGCGGAAAGCGAATCGATCGATCGCAAACATACACACGATCCAGGGCCAGCCGCCGGTATCAAACACTAAAAGGGAGGAAGCAGCACTTGATAGCAACTGCCAGGACTCCTTGCCAACGACCCCACGTGGCGGCTTTCCAGAAACGTGCACAGCCGTCACTGCCTACTTCCGGTGTCGCGAGTACCACCGCAGCCGCGGAGACTGCGAGCTCTGCTACGCTCGTACCGAATACTGTCTGACCGAGGGGTGCACGGTCCGAGAACGACATGATGCCAGCTGTGACGATGGAAGCAAGGACTGCTCAGAATGCCAAGATGCGCTCGTGAATGGGACCGACGCCTAGCCATGGCATGTGGGCCCGGGCGACGAGGGCTTGTCGACTACGCCTTTTCGGCGGCTGCGTGTTTGTCTCGACTCGCCGGGCACACACCTGCTATCAAAGCACATGATATCGAGCATCAGGGGAAGAGCAAGCCCACTGGAAGTTTATAAACTTTTGACACACGGCATAAGATGGAAGATCTCTCCCGGTCTCGGCAATTCCATACGCCAACAGTCCAAAGACGGCCGCAACCTGCCCAGCCTGTCTGTCCATAAAACCAGAAGTGCTTTGCTCTCTACCATGGGCTGATCCAGTAGATTCACCGGTTGGGCCCATTCCATGATAATCGTTGCCATAAAAGGAGACCAGCATCATGTTTTTTTTTCGTGCTCGAGTGTGCTCTTCCAACGGCATCTCGCATCCAGACGCTGCAGTCGCACAGAAAGATCAGCTATCAAACCGCATCCCACCGGCCGTGGCCATCTCCAAAGATGTGCACAGCCTACTACGCCTACTACGCCTGCTTGGGCTACCACTCGGCAAGGCAAGAAGAAGAGCTCCGATTGGCCTACGTCGACTATTGCGAAGTGACCCAGAGCAACCCACAACCGACAATTTGCTGTCCTATTTTTGTCCTAGCCATCTACAACCCTGAGCTCAACAATGCCGACGTGTCCTGCCCTGCTTGCCAGCGAGAAGGAAGATGAGTTTGGTGGACGCATAGCCGCCCACGGTTGAGCATACACGAGATTGCGCTCGACAGATACTGGAGATATCGCAGCGAATAAAAACGAGACATGGAATTCGTACAATATCAACAGAAATTATGGATAAACATATACAGTAGAAAGTCATTAACCACCAAACCATTACCCTTCCAACTAGGTCGCCTTGACCCGAGCCGCGATGAAGGCGACGGCCTCGGGCACCCGGGCACTGTAGTCGAGGTGGGGCAAGGCGACCATCAGCTCGCCCTCGCAGACCAGGTCGCCCTTGTTGCAGATGATGAGCGTCTTGGCTGCGGGAAGGCCTGGGACGCGGCCGCCGTCCTGCTCATTCTGGGTGTCGCCAAAGGTGACGGCGGCGGCGATGCGGGACCTGACGGCGGCCGGCAGGCCCCCGACGGCGAGGTGCAGGAGCGCGGCGCCCTGACTGTAGCCCGAGACGACGATTCGAGCTTTGGGGCACTTGGCGGCCACCTCTTGGATGAGGTCGGCGAACTCGCCCGCCTCGGTGCGGCTGGCGCCGCTCGACGCCAGGTTCGTGAGGAGCATGGCCGCGTACGGCACGCCCTGCGCGGCCACGCGCGTGGCGTTGAGCCGGGCCTTGAGGGCGCTGGCCAGTTCGGGGCCGGGTTGCGAGCCCTGTTTTGGAGAGGTTGGTAAGTGGTGGGTTGCGATGGGCTATGCTGCGCACGGGCAGCTCAGAATAAAACGAAACGAATACATGACCAACGTACCATGTTGCCGCTCTGGATCGACCCACGCGCGAACAAGAGCACGATGTCTTTGCAGCCGCCGTTCTTGAACTCGTTTGCCTCAATCCCGACAGTTTGACGCGGCAGGATGAAGTTGGGGAAGCCGTATTCAGCTTTGGGGATGGTGACGGGAGCGGCCAAGGAGCAGGCTACAAGAACAACAGTGGCGGCGAGAGAGAACTTCATGGTGCAGTGGTTGAAGTTGGACTTTCAGGGAGGAGATTATGACGAGAGTAGGAACTGCTGACGGTGGGAAACGTGAACAATAGGAAAATAGACAATAAGAAATATAAGATTGAGAAACGATAACACTAGGAAACCGACGACACTGGTAAATGAAGGCTTGATGGCGGCCAGATGAGAAGGCAGCTCCATCATCACCAAGACAGAGGAGCAAGGCCTTTATCTACTTGACCCGGAGCACCAGGTCTGCGGTCATGTCGTGATGCCATCCCTCGGAAAAGAAGGCCATGAACTGAAAGCGCAAGGACGCCATGAAACTTGACGGGCAAGTAGCACGAAAATAGATCTCAAGATCCACGTTATCGAATATCGAATACCACCATCTCCCGCTGCCGAGAATCTACAGGCACTCCGTGTGAGGGCCCAAAAAAGGCCATGCGGAAACCCCAGCTGTGAAGCACATCTTCTATCGACAACCGAAGGGAAACAATGACCAGACAGCGGGCCAATCACAGCGGCCATGTCCCTGCATGACACTGGCTGCTGCCCCTGGCGGGGTTTTCAGGGCCGTGGTGCCTGGAAACCCCCACAAGTGTCAGTTGCACAGGCGCGGGGAGTGGAGCCTTTTGGAGGGGCGAGCAGAAACAATGCGACGGCTTAAAACATCGCACGGACGACCAAAAAAAGCATTGTGGGTGTTATGGAAAAGCGGGAGAATAACGAGGAAAGAAGAATCGATGCCCGATCAGTCGTCATTCAAAACCACCACCACCTAGATCTGACCTAGCGCCGCCCTAGATACTACCGAGAACTACTCGAGAAGTCGACACGGCGCGTGCTCGCGGCAAAATGACGCGCTGTGTCGAGTCACGGCACCAAGAGCACACCTAAAATAGAGTCAGCGCCGCGGTCCTCTGCAGCCCCCCTAGTCCAAGCCACATAGCCAGCGCCTCAGCCAAAGAAGCCGCCCGCCTCAAAAGATTCCCTCAACATGGCCAAATCATAACGCTCAGCTCGCCCAGACGCCACTACGCAGTTCTAGACCGCCCCTTCAAAGCGCCCCTGAAGCCTCGCCCCCCTCATCCTGCGGCCACTCGGCCTTGTGCGTCCCCGGCAGGCAGCTGCCGACGGCCGGCCCGAGCGGCGTGACGCCCAGCTCGACGGGCAGCCTGAGGTAAGTCAGCACGTCCTTGGTGCCGGCCGGGCCGCCGCCACCGCCGCCGCCCAGGTCGCTCGGGATGCTGTCAAAGTAGGCCGGGCGGAACAGGCGCGGCACCGCGGCCTGGAGCGACCCCATGACCTTTGTCAGCAGCGCCATCATGTCGTCGTGGTGCCGCGGCCGAAAGGTCGGGTGCAGCTCGCGCAGCCCGCGCTGGACCTCGGGCGCGAGCGCGCCCTGCGCGAGCAGGAAGCGGTTGAACTGGTTCAGCGAGATGTCGACCGTGTAGCTGCCGCCCTCGGTCGCGCGCTTGTCGATGGCCGTCAGGATGCCGATCAGGCCGACGAGGCCGGTCCTGGGAGGAGGATGATGAAGAGGTCAGAATGGGTCGCTCATATAAGGAAAGCCAAAAAAAAAAAGAGAGATCTGATCACACAAGGCCAAAACACTCACTGGTAGTCGGAACTCGGCAGCGGCGGCACCACAGGCTCGTCCAGCCCCAGGAACTCGCCCATCATCCAGCTGACGCCCGTGACGCAGTCCGAGATCTGCTGCCAGCCCGACCTGCCCGCCCAGGGGCCCGACCAGCCGTAGCAGTTCTCGCGCACCACCACCATCCCCTTGCCCCTCCGGCGCGCCAGCGCGTGCAGGTACGCCTGCCCGAACCCGAGCCGGTCCAGGGCTCCCGGCCGGTACCCGTCCAGCACCACGTCGGCGTCCTCGACCAGCCGCCGGAGCGCGGCCCTCCCGTCCCCCGACTTGAGGTCCAGCGACGCGTCCCGCTTGCCGAGGTTGCCGTCCATCAGCAGGGCGCCCACCTCGGGCTGGCCCGCGTGCGAGACGCGCACCACGGTCGCGCCGAAGAAGGCCGCGAGCCGCGCCACGGTCGGCGCGGCGATGACGCGCGATATGTCGACCATCTTGATCCCCCGGAGGGGCTTTCGGTCGTTGGGGTCCCGGACGGCCGGGTAGGGGACAGGCGGGAGCGGGTTTTGGGAGGCGTCATCGTGGCGGCTGAGGATGTACAGCCCGTCGGCCGCCGTGGCCCTCCCCTGCTCCGTGGCGTCGAACTCGTCCCGCGTCAGGCACACGGTGCCGGCCTGGCGCCAGTGCTCGTTGGCCTCGACGTCGAGCCACTCGGCGTCATGGCGCCGCACGGCGTCGGCGTAAACCGCCACGGCCTCCTCCTGCGTCGACACGGCCGCGTCGTCGCGCGGCAGGCCCAGCATGGCGAGCGAGCGGTCCGCGTTCATGCTGCCGTGCAGGTGGAACCAGCGGCCGTCGCGCGTCGGGTAGACGTTTGTGCAGAAGCGCCGCCAGGGATCCGCCATGCGGCCCAGGTCGTATCGCCCCCACACCGCCGCCACGGCCGGGTCCGACAGGGGCTTGCCGTTGACGCGGGCCAGCACCGCCGACGCGAGGAAGAGCGCCGCCAGGTCCGTGTTGACCGTGACGTCCTGCGCGCCGCCGGCGGCTTCCGCCCCGAAGCGGTCGCGCGCGACGGCGCTGCCCAGCGTCCCCGCCAGCGCCCACAGCGCCGCGCTGACCTCGGCGAACCGGAGCGGCACGGGCAGGAAGGGCGTGTCGACCGTGTCGGGCGCGTTGAACGAGGTGCGTCCGGCCAGCTCGAGCACCTTGGCCGGCAGCTGCAGGCGCGCGTCCCGGAGGAGGACGTCGCGGAAGATGCGGTCCGCCTCCTTGCGGATCGAGTAGCTCTGGGGCGTGTCGGTCGTCATGTTGAAAGATGAGAGCGTCAGGTCAGATGGAAACACAGCTCGTCAGTGTTTGAAAAGACGAGATGGCAGGTAAGAATCACATACGTGCGGCTACATTGCGTGGCTTAAAACTCGTCGCCTAAGCGGGGATTCGGAGACCCAGACGGGCCCGCTCCGCGCCGGCTTTCTTAGCCCATGCAAACAGTACGGGCCAATACAAAACCCGGTGGTACGATCAACTCTCGCGGTGCCATCCCCAACTTCCCCGCTCGCTTGCGTGCAGCTTGCGATCGGCCTTGTGGGGTGCATCGAGATGCCTCGGCTCAATGCTACGCTTACCACCCATCCCGATCCTAGACCTGGGGCCCAGATAGAACAGAGCCATAGGTACTCGGGGCGCATCGCTTCACCTGAAGACGCCCAAGGTAAAATGGACAGGCAGTTAACTTACCCGGACGGCTATCACTTTCCTACAAGCCTGTCCCCGTTCTCCATACCGGAAAAGAAGCACGGCCTGTCAAAAGGGGGGGCTACAAGCCTGGCTTCCTTCCCGCGCCGTGTGGACTGCGAGACGGCGCACGTAATCGCCAACCAGGGCCATCAAGTGGTGGACAACGGCGGTGCCCTCAACCCGGCTAGGCCCGAGCACGAGCACGACCATTTTGACATGTCCACGAGATATCGATGTGTAGGTAGGTAATGCTTGGTTCCAGTCCCATCACGCGCCAACAAGAGCATTGGAAAGTCCCGTTGCCAACAACAGAACAAAGAGATTCCAGAGACAGTGACGTAAGGGCAATTCGGCCTGATGGAAAAGGTAAGATGGAAGACCAACAAGTATCCCACCAAGTCGCGCCTTTGGCAGAACCCGGATTAGAATGGTACGGACCAACATCACACCTTGATGTGGCGACTCCTACCAGTTGTCCCTGGGAACTCTTTGCCATGAAACTAAAAACAATCATCACTGTTCCCGCACACCGCTAAAAACAGGACAATATGTCACTTCTCGCGTCAGGGGGATGCGGGCACTATCAAAAACATGCTGCCATGTTGCTGTGTTCTTTTATATGAGTAATTGCAGTTGTATGTGGATATCTCGTCCCGAGTATTGCTGCTTCATCCAATCCCCCCCAAAAAAAAACACGGCGGGAAAAGAAGAATCTATATCTACGACGAAGCGACATCTCCATCCGGACGCACAAGCTCCCGGCGGTGGAACTTGGTCCTGAAGTTGTTCTGCTTGACGAACCACGAGTTCACAATCTCCCAGTCCTGCGTCGGGTCATGGAACTCGATCTGCAACAAGAAAGCGGTTAGCAGGGAAAGGTCAAAGGACAGCATATGTAAAAAGAAAGAAAAGAAGAAGAAGAAAAAAAAAAACTCACCTCAAACTTCCTCAGCAGGCTCGGCACGACCTTGTAAATCTCGAGCAGACTAATGTTCTTGCCGATGCACGTCCGCGACCCCATGCCAAAGTGCAGCATCATGCCGCCCATCTCCTTGACGCGCCGCTCCTCGGCCGCCCGCACCTTGTCCTCGTCCACCAGCCACCGCTCGGGCCGGTACGCCTCGACGTCGTCGCCAAAGATGTCCCTGTTCTGGTGCACCACCCACGCCGACACGCCCACGATGGTGCCGGCGGGCACGTGGCGGCCCGCAATCTCGCAGCCGCCGGCGGGCACGACGCGCTCCATGGGCAGGCCGGCGGCCGGGTGGACGCGGAAGGCCTCCTTGACGCACGCGTCCAGGTAGGGCAGGCGCTGGGCCTCGTGCCACGTCACGAGCCCCGTCTCGTAGTCGCTGAACATGCCGGCCCGGGCGGCCCCGTCGATCTCGGCGCGCAGGCGGGCCATGGCGGCCGGGTTGCGCAGGAGGTAGTAGAAGACGGCGCTGAGGGTGATGGCGGTCGTCTCGGAGCCCGCAAACGCCATGGAGACGGCCATGGTCTGCACGAGCGTGTCCGACATGAACTCGGGCCGGGCCTCCTGCGCCGCCAGGAATTTGGACAGCAGGTCGGGGGACCTCACCCCCGAGCCCTCGGTCGTTGAGCCCAAGTCGACGGGGCTCTTCTTTTCCGACGGGGCCTCGAACTTGCGGTCCGCCGCGTTGGCCCCGTTCATGGTGGTCAGCAGCGTCGGGACGCGCTCGGCCATGCGCTCGCGCGCGAAGCGGGCCACGGGGAAGGTCGCGTCCATGAGCCCCCACTGCGACAGCTTCAGGTAGATGGGGTTCTTGAGGAACAGCAGGTCCAGCCAGGGCATCTGCCCGACAGGCGCGACGTAGTTGAACAGCCAGCCGAGGTAGCCGATGATGCCGTCGATGTCCTCGTTCTTCTCGACGAAGCCGTGGCGCTTGCTGTACGTGATCTCGCCAATAACATCAAAGGCGTAGAACTGCATCCACCGGCCCATGTCGCAGCCGTCATCGTTGTCGGCCCAGAGCGTCTCGGTCTGGCGCAGGAAGAGCTTGGTGGTGTTGTCCACGAAGGGCTCGTACTGCACGAGGGCCGACATGGCGAAAGCCCCGTTGACGCAGCGCCGGAACTGCGCGTGGAAGTCGTTGTCTGTCGTGCTAAAGAGCGACGGCAGCCTCTGGCCTTTGGCAACGGATTGTTGCACAATGTAAAAGTCGGACTAGGCAGTGTCGGCAGTCAGCAGGGTCATAGGCCCGAGATGGAATAGCCTTGGAGGTTTAGTCACCTTTACAAAGCCTTTATTCAGACCATATATGGCCTTGGCCGCCTTGGGGTCCGAGATGGACAGCATGTTGGGCCCGAGCCGCACGACGTCGCCGTACTTGGCGTGGAGCTTCTGATGCGTAACCTCGGGCCGCCGGCCATAAACGTCCCAGAAGCGCCAGAGATCGGTGAAGGAGGCCAAAAGGGGGCCAGGGTACTTGTTGAGGCCATTATGGTACCGATTCCGAACAAGCCACGCAGCTAGGACGACGACGCCAACGCTGAGCCAGTGCTGCCCCAGGTACTGGAGCAGCGCTTCAGTGACGCCGCCTTGCATAGTGCCGTATGGCTCGTTTGGTGCGTTGGTGTGCACTTGCGATGCGCCGTTCCCGTATAGCACCGGCTATCGAGATGATGAGCCTTATCGAGCCTTCTCGTGGTTTTGGGTCCTCTTGTCGGTCTCTGGTAAAGGGAACAGGGTATCTAGGAGGGTCAGGCGGCTGGCACTTGTGGTGTAGTTGCCGAACAAGAGTGGAAGTCCCCCGACCTGAATCTTGGAAAAGAAAACGATAGATTCCGCCACAAAGCCTGTTGAGAGACTTGCGGTTCCGGCGTTGAGGGTTGATGGTGAGCAAGACAGTGCTGATGCGGCTGTTAAGGGGTAGGGGGCTTCATATAAGCGTCCCGTCCCCCATCCCAAGATGGTTGGCAGGCGCAAATCCCTTGCCGATAGCTGACCTACCCCGGCCAACGCGCGGCCGAATTCCTCCTCCCCCAGCAAGCCAGTTCCCTCGGCAAGACAAAATGATGATGGCAAGTGGAGCCCGCCTGGATAAGGAGGAAGGGCGTCGGCGGGCGGCTGCTCCTCGCCAGTGGGAAGAGTGGGAACCGGATTTCCAGGACCCGCCTCGGGAGGGTATGATGATGTTTGGGGGGAAGGTGAAGGCGGAGGCGAAGGTGCAGGAAAGCTAAAGGCTCGGCAGGTGAGATCAAAGGGGTGATGATGATGATGATAATGGGGAGGAGGAGGGTGGGCTAAGCGGTGGTGGTGTGGAGGCGGCTGGGCCAAGAGGGCGCGGCGCGGCACATTGTCTGAGGCATGGATGGACATTCGGCCGGGGCGGCGACACGACCAGAACGCTGGGACTGGGCTACGGCGACCCTCGGGGACACTGGAGATCCCGGACGGCCGACGGGCAGAACAGAGCGACATTTGCCGTGCTTTTTTCTTGTTGTTTTCTTTTTTTTTTTTTTTGGTCATGTAAAAGATGGATAGTGTGAGGGTTCCATGGTTGTGTTTCCTCCGCCATCAGGGGATAGGTACCAGGGTGCGGGCAAAACCCAAACCCAGAAAAAGCTGGGATCCTCAAAGTCGCAGGCAAACGTCGGCAAGTGATGGAAGGCTTGCCGAAGGCGGTTTACAAAAACGAGGCAACCCCACCGCTATGCCAACCCCTGTGGGGGCAGGAAGGGCGAAGCTTGTCGGATTTCGGCAGATGCGCCGTCCAATGAGCGGGCCACCTGCCCAGCGGTCCTTCTGGGAGCGCAGACGCCCCAGCTTGTGGAAAGGGTCGGTGGGCAATGTGACTTGGGTGCTTGCCCAGTCCCACGGCCCGGCGAGTCCGGCTTGCAGTCTTTTTCATGTTTCCATGTTGCCGATGATGGACAGCCCGGTTTCAAGACGGTGCCGGGCCAGGGCATTGGCGGGAAAACTACAATCGAGCAAAAATAAACATCGGTCCGGGTCGATAGGGCATTGGATTAATTAATCTGTGCCAAGCCAGTTGTTGCTGCGGCTGCTGGCTGCTGCATTGGGACCCCGCCAGATCAATCCCAGGGCGCTGGCTTTCATCCCAAATCGGTGCACAATCTACAATCTTTACGGTACAGTGGACAGTCGGGGTGGCGCCAACCAACAGCCCGAGTGACATCAGCCCAACATCCTTGACCAAAAGACACGTCGGCAGTCGGTCAGTCACCCATCGCCGACCCCGAGTCGTCATCTCACCCATGCCTATCAAGCAGGTGCCTACCACCTAGCTTGGCTTGCTTGTCCAAAGCCCAAAGGGGGAATAAATTACAAGACAATGAAATATGACAGGCCCGAATGCAAACTGAATATTGAAAGCTTTATTTCCCTCTAAAGTGCATTACCGACAGACCACAGTTCATATCAAGTACTAGCCCAGTGAGCCCATCCCTCAGTTAACGAGCAGTACTTGTCTGTGAACTCAGCTCCCCTCTCCTCTTCGATTATATTCTGTACCACAAAGCCCGCTGTTTGCCTAGCAGGCAACCGGCAATCCCTTTGTGTTGTCTGTGGAAATAGGCCTGGCCCAAGATAGATCTTGTGAATTACCGGTCGCTTTACCGGATCACTTGTGCAGTCTGCAAACAGGGATGTTACTATTTCCAACACAATAAAAAGCAAAAACATACAACACCGAGGATTCCCCAGTGGTCACCCACCTGAGTACTAGTTCGGCCCTCACTGGTTTG